ACTGTTTACTGACGAGTCCCGTTTCCTACTCACACGTGCTGATGGGCGCGCACGTGTCTACAGACGTCGGGGTGAACGTTACGCCCCCAACTGTGTGCAGCAGGTTGTCCCATTTGGCGGCGGGAGTGTCATCACGATGGTAGGACGCATCTCGTGCATGTGGCAGGTGCATTGACAGGTGTGCGTTACAGATACTTGATCCTACAGCCTTACGTTCTTCGTCACGTCAACGTTCATGGCGGACAGTTCCAGCAGGACAACGCTCGACCGAATATTGCACGTGTTTGTCAGGACATCTTACAGCACAACAACATCCAGACATTACATTGGCCAGCCCGGTCACCAGATTTGTCCCCGATTGAGCATCTGTGGGGATCGACGCGTTTGCAGAAGGAATAGACCGCCCCAAACAATTCCGGCGCTTCTTGCTGCACTTCAGCATGAATGGCAGCACATCAAACATAGTGTTATTGACAACTTGATTGCATCTATGGGTCGTCGGTGTCAAGCGGTGATTGATGCACGTGGTTGGCACAACAGATACTGACATTTACTGTACCCCTGTGACATTAACTGTATCCTGTACGTGTGTCTGTCTAGGTGACACGATTAATGTTTTGAACATTGTGTACATTGATCTTCAAACAGTGTTTCAATTATGGTTTCGGTGTCTTATTTTGAAACAGTCGCATTATATTACATTGAAAGACAGTGTCAAGTTTCTCTTTTTGAAGAGTATATATATAATATATGGAGAACTATTACCAACGAATTGACAATTGTTTTAGGTATGCCTGTTTGCGATCATCAAGGTTGAAATTAAAGTGTCAAATGTTCTTAAAGTGAAACACAACACTAGTCTCTGACAAAATGGCATCACAAGTGAGTATCTCATGTGTCCGCCATGTGCATTGATGATTGCCGTGCAACGTCGATACATGGTATGGATGAGGCGGTTGATGAAGGCCATAGGCAATTGAGCCCACACTCTGAGGAACGCCTGACGCAGTTCAGCTGCAGTTGGTCGGACGTCATTCACAGGTGCTCAATGGGATTTAAATCGGAACTGAGGGCAGGCCACTGCATGGTTCTAATGCCATTCTCTTGTTGCTCTCGCAGTGTGTGCACGGGCGTTATCATGCTGAAACTCGTGGTTGCGGCGACGTGCCAAATGCGGTATGACGTGTGGTCTCAAGACTTGATCAATGTACCGAGCTGTATATAGAGTGTCACCTCGTTTGTCCGCCTTCGCTATATACAGTGTCACCTCGTTTGTCCGGATCCGTTAAATGCAGTGTCACCTTGCTTGTCCGGATTTCTTATATCAGTGTCACCTCGTTTGTCCGTCTTCGTTATATACAGTGTCACCTCGTTTGTCCGGATCCGTTATATACTGCGTCACCTCGTTTGTCCGGGTTCGTTGTGTACAGCGTCACCTAGTTTGTCCGTCTTCGTCATATACAGTGTCACCTCGTTTGTCCGGATTCGTTATATACAGTGTCACCTCTTTTGTCCGGATCCGTAATAAATAGTGTCACCTCATTTTTTTGGATCAGGTATATTAAGTGCAACCTCGTTTATCCGGATGCATTATATTCAGTGTAACCTCATTTCCCAAGATTCCTTTATACAGGGTCACCTCGTTTGTCCGTCTTCGTTATATACAGTGTCACCTCGTTTGTCCGTCTTCGTTATATAGAGTGTCACCTCGTTTGTCCGGATCCGTTATATACTGCGTCACCTCGTTTGTCCGTCTTCGTTATATACAGAGTCACCTCGTTTGTCCGTCTTCGTTATATACAGTGTCACCTCGTTTGTCCGTCTTCGTTATATACAGAGTCACCTCGTTTATCCGTCTTCGTTATATACAGTGTCACCTCGTTTGTCCGGATCCGTTATATACTGCGTCACCTCGTTTGTCCGTCTTCGTTATATACAGTGTCACCTCGTTTGTCCGGATCCGTTATATACTGCGTCACCTCGTTTGTCCGTCTTCGTTATATACAGTGTCACCTCGTTTGTCCGTCTTCGTTATATACAGAGTCACCTCGTTTATCCGTCTTCGTTATATACAGTGTCACCTCGTTTGTCCGTCTTCGTTATATACAGTGTCACCTCGTTTGTCCGTCTTCGTTATATACAATGTCACCTCGTTTGTCCGGATTCTTTGTGTAAAGCGTCACCTCGTTTGTCCGTCTTCGTCATATACAGTGTCACCTTGTTTGTCCGGATTCGTTATATACAGCGTCACCTCGTTCGTTTGGATTGGCTACATATAGCGTCACCTCGTCTGTCCGGATCCGTTATATACAGTGTCACCTTGTTTGTCCGGATTCCTGATATAAAGTGTCCCCGACTTTTTTTCGGATCCGCTATATAAAGTGTCACATTTTTTGTCCAGATCCCTCAAATGAAGTGCCCCCTCATTTGCCCGCATCCGTTATATACAGTGTAACCTAATTCGTCCGGATCCATTATATATAGTGCAACCTCGTTAATTTGAATCCTATATATTCAGTGTCATGTTATCCTTTATATACAGTGTCACCTCATTTATCCAAATCCCTTATGCACAGTGTCAACTCGTTTGTCCGGATCCGTAATAAATAGTGTCACCTTATTTTTTGGGATCCGTTATATAAAGTGCAACCTCGTTTATCCGGATGCATTATATTCAGTGTAACCTCATTTCCCCAGATTCCTTGATACAGCGTCACCTCGTTTGTCCAGATCTATTCTATACACAGTGCGATCTCATTTGTTCGGATCCATTATAAATAGTGCAACCTCGTTTGTCCGGATCCGTTATATACAGTGTCATCTCATTTGTCCGGATCCATTATGTATAGTGCAACCTCGTTTGTCCGGATCCGTTATAAACATTGTCATCTCATTTGTCCGTATCCATTATATATAGTGCAACCTCGTTTGTCCGGATCCGTTATACAGTGTCACCTAATTTCTCCAGTTTCGTTTATACGTTCTCACCTCGTTTGTCCGGAACCGTTATATACAACGTGATCCAATTATCCGTTATATATAGAGTTATATATAGAGTCACCTCGTTAGTCCAGATCCCTTGATTACGGTGTCACCTCATTTGCCCGAATCCATAATATATAGTGCAGCCTGGTTTGTCCGGAATCGGTATATACAGTGTAACTTCGTTTGTCCAGATCCCTTATATACAGTGTCACCTTGTTTATCCGGAAGTTTAACTAAGTTTGTTTCTTGGAAGGGTTGAAGGCGTTACAACGACGACAATCCAACTGTTTCTTCATCTGCCAGTTATATTTATCACGGCATGTTTGGTTTTCTGACAATTAGTCATCTGGGACTGACAACTCCAGTTAGGGAACCATGCAGGTGGAGGCAGTAACGTCGGCCCTCATGGTCCCTAGTTTGGTTGCTGGTCATCTATGGCCCGGTTTTGTCATGTATTGTTGTGTGTAGTCATTTGGTGACAATGTATATAACAGGCCGCCTTGATGCTGGAAATTTGTGCGGCGTAAAATAAAAACACACAATCTTTTGTCCGTTAAGATCGGATATAACATAGGGGCTACCAATGTGTGTGTTCTGTCACTTCACCAACACAAAAACAATTTATCTGCAATACGTATTATATCTGCGATGTCATGGACAACTTAACAACATTTTACAAGTGCATTTCCGTATTTCCTCTGAAAGGTGAAGTTTTTTACCGACTTCTCTAGACAATACCTGCGGTCGGTATCGAAGGAACTTGACAGTTATCGACACATTTACTTCATGTCGTGATACAATCGAGTATGCTCTTTCTGCCAAGATTTCAATGAACGTCATACGACTCTTGCTCAGAGGTTGTTTAATCAAGGTTACAACATTCAAGGCCTCAGTAAAGCTGTCAAAGAGTTTTATGGTAGACATGTGGAGGAGATTTCCAAATTTGACGCATCAGTGACAAAAATGAAATCCGGTGCAATTCCCTAATTTGACTTGTACAATATGTTTCCATGATTTTTTCAGGTGAACAATTTACTTGTCTTTGCATGTGTTTGTGACGGGTGCCACCGGTGGGGCAGGATACACTCACCTTTTCGCGAACACCTGGTATCATTACTCTTTGATAGTGATTCATAAACACATACTCATCATATTGTCGGAATTGAACAATCGACTCTGCTTTATGAGAGATTTCTTTTGGATATGGAAAGAGTTTTGTCGCTTTATTTATCCAATCACGAATAATAAAATGTTCGCATGACATGTTGGATGAAAATACATGCTAAACAATATAAATCATAAATTGTTCAGATGATGTAGTAACTCGTAGCCGAGGACAGCCGTTGCAGTCGCCGTCAGCAGTACAAACCACAACATCATGATCGTCACCGTATGCATAGGATCCGGGGTAGAACAGGCCTTCAGCAACCAATGCTTGCTGTAAAGGGCGTCTATGCTTGTCGAAAGAGTTTATTCGAAAGCTTAACAGATCCGTTTTTATAAATAAAGAGTATTGGACACAGATGGTGAGCGTATATTGTGTAACTGGATCCTAACACTCTGAAATAGAACCGGTGTTAGGCAAGTACTGCATCTATTGTACCTAAGTGAGTGAGAGGGTAGATGGGTGAGCGGATGGTTGAGTGGTTGAGTGACTGAGTGAGAGACAGTGAGTATCGTCCTATGCAGGAGGAATGTCATCAGTGACACAGACCGTACATGTCTGAAACTTTGATGAAACCACCTTGACTTGACAGGCTTATAAACCTACGATAAGCGGATCCTGGTAGTACTAAGGGACGCAACTCAGTGACTACCATTGTTGGTTTGTGATCTTAGCCGTAGGGAAGCACTGTTAGAGAGCTACTGCCCATCTACATCTGTGACGTATTTCATCGGATTAATGCTATCGACAAATAGTATAAACAACGTACAATCGCTGGAGGCTGTCTCGAATGTTTTTTGACAAATGTCGATACGTATGTATACCCTCAATTGAAAACCAACAATCTATAGACGCTTCATCTGCGTTTATTATTATGTCAGGGTCAGGTACATGACCTACACAATCATTGTGCTTTACATATGATGAATCTGTGTGTGTGATCGTAGAAATACGACCACATTCTTCTCATCGTGTTAGCCCTGTAGGGTAGCTCGGCACATCTGCGAGCAGAGGGGTTGAACTTCGAGTCAATATCGTTGTATCCAGGGACGTACCAGCCGGACCAAGCTCCATTGAACCACTGTATCTTATAGGCGATAATACGGCCTCCCTCAGCTATCTGGTCAGCAAAGGGGTTGAGTCCAGCCGGCCACACACACTTTAAGGTACGAGCTCTTGTCACTTCGGTACATATGGCCTGTAAATCAACACGACAAAGTGTTAAGAAATGATAACAGCAAACATCAACCTCTTCATACGGTTACGTCATTATGGCAAATGAGCATGCGAGTATCTTCTACAACAGCTCCAGTTCTAGGATTCGTGGCGTCTGAGGTGTTTTGACGCAACAACACCGTCAACTGCGAGAGAGTGTGGAAAGCCAGCTATGGATAAGTGTTCGGTTAAGCGACGAATCAGGATTTATGCGTTATTGCTTATTTGGGAGACGTCACCCGAATTATTTAGCGCCATACTGCGAGGGAGGGAGAGAGGTTTAGTGGTGGCAGCGTAATGATGTGGGTGATTATAATGAACAGGTCCCCTCAGTGGCCCTCTTAATCGCCGCCGCCTCCATGGTCTAGTGGTAGTAGTTTTTCACTGCTTTAATAACACAGTGACATGTAGTTCTCCAAGGCATATGGACATATCAGTAGGATTTGGTACCCTGCTGCCCTGTCAATGTCTTACCTTGTTCATGAGAGAAGAATGAAATCTAAATAATTCCATCTAATTCATTATATATTCTCAATTCAAATTAGAAATACACACCCAAGTATGGACGTCACCACATGAGATTAGCCACTGACAACCAACGCACTGTGCCCACACAGGCCTGGGGTGGGTTTCAACTGTCTGCCTGGCAGTGCAGGCTTGTTGGCGCAAGTGAGAACAGATCACACCCATGTCTTCACGTTAGAATGTTACACTTTGACGTCCGCTTTTGGGGGATCCTGCGCACTGTTTGCCTGAGCATCACGTGTAATAAGACGGTACATCGTAGTGTGGTGAATCTGTCACGTTGCCGTGTTTTCCGGTTTCACCCAAGAAACCATGATTCACATTAACAGCATGCATGTTAATCTAACCACGTCCTCAGAAAGCCTATTTCTGGCCAATTGGTCTCATGGATATGATCAGTCTGTGTTGAGTTTTCGAATCTAAACCTGATACGTGGAACGTTTCTTGACGTGATATTATATCACTGTGGCTTTGGTTATTCAAAAAAATATTTGTTTATTGGATATCTGTGAGATCGGATAGTTACAACATGATAAGTGCGTCTACTAAAGAAATATCCATCTAATCTACTGAATAAATGTCCATCTCATCTTCTAAAAAATGTTTTCCTAATCTACTGAATAAATGTCCATGTAATCTACTAATTAAATGTCCACCTCATCTACTAAGTAAATGGCCACCTCATCTACGAAATAAATGTCCATCTAATCTACTAAACAAATGTCCACCTGATCTACTACAAAAAGATACACCTAATATACTAAATATATGGCCACCCAATCTACTAAATAAATGCCCACGCAATCTACTAAATAAATGCCCACGCAATCTACTAAATAAATGCCCACCTACTAATAAATGTTCATCGAATTCACTAAATAGATGTCTATCTTACCTGGGTGTTGATGTCGTAAGAGACAAGATCTGATAAGCTGGACACAGTTGTTACAGTCAGCGCCAGCAGAAGCGACCACAGCATCATGGACGTCATGATGAGATAAAGATGATCACCGACTACAGTGCATCTTTTATAGCTGTAAACATGCAAATTAAATTTTAAAATGCGACAACGCACAGGTTAGAAATATAAATTGATTGCTGACAGTTTTGTATGGAACTGTGTGATGAGTGATAAATGAAATCCCCCTACGACAGTTTCATTGGTGTTGAAACATTCTAATAGTGCTCCCTGTTGTGTTGTATCCCTATTAATTGCATTATTTATGCTTACTCTAAGCGCATTTTAAGCGCCGGCTTAATTATTAACTCCGGCTTCATTATTAACTTCGGCTGTCAAACCTGCAGAGACAACTTTATCCACGTTACTTGTTTCAGATTTAATTTCGCAACACGTTTTTCAAATGGGAAACTCCAAACTCCATTTTTCCTTAATGTAAATATAACGTTGTTTTCTAACTGTGTGTGTTGACACAAAGGTAATATTATGTCTGTTTGTCGCCTAGTGCACGAGTGAGTGAGTGAGTGAGTTGAATAAGGCGCCGCTTAAACAATACTTATACCGTCTTTCGGTTGGAGCTACCAAGTTTATTCAGTGTCTAGTACACACGAGGAGAATCGAACCCGGGCGTGATCCGTCAACAGTGATCTACTTGGCTAACTCTTTAATCATGAAATTGTCAAGGTAAGTTATCAATTTGGTAGTATCTTGCTGACTGTTTCCCGAACTCATCTTTAACATAGTCAACATATAACGTAAAAAGGATGTATAGTTTCCACCGCTTCTGTTCATAACACTCCACGTTCATAATCTCTTATTAGATTTTACGTCGTTCTGAAGCAGATTTTGTTGAGCGATTTGGCTTAAGACAGTGGAAATATTTGACGTCTCCGAAGAAGAAGGATAAGTCTGTTCTATCAGCTGGCAAGGGGAAGGCCTCGGTCTTCTGGCATTCCAAAGGATTCCTACGTTAGACTTTCTCCCGGAAGGTCAAACCAGTAAAGGCCACAAAACCGGAATGTTAAATTAGAATTATAAACTACCACTGTTATCAGCCCCATGTACTGTAAAAACCTGAAATAGTGGGTGAGTGAGTACGTTGGGTTTAATGCCGCATTTAACGGAATTTCATCTGTATCTCAGTTTGAAGTCCGAAGTGTATGAGACACTTACAACTTACCACCTACGAGCACGGGTATGGTGCTGGCAAACGTAGGAACATAATCAGGACAATTACGGGATTCCAGTTTTCTGGAACGCCTCAGGAACGACAACCTAAAGTATCAATTAGTAACCAAGCCTTTCTTTTCACCCGTTTCCTGAAAACAATGTCATATTGGACAGTGAGTGAATTGGGTTTATCGCCGCTTTTAACAGTATTTCAGTTATATCACGGCGTGTCAGCTTAATGTTGGAGGAAAGCCCGAAGTGATGCAGGTCTCAGACGTTTACCACTTTGGTGAAACCCACAAGCACGGGTATGGTGCTGACAAACCTAGAAACATAATCGGGGCGAACCAGGATTCGAACCAACAATAATAGTTTTCTGGCGTGATCAAGGGGCACAACTCTGCACAGCAAATCGCGGCGCTTTAGACGACTTGGCCACCCGTGCCCCTACCTATATGACAAACCTTATGACGTATATAATAACTTTTAAGGGTTTCTGTTTGGTCTTGGCGGATTATGATACCCAGAATTTGTTGTCGGTACGACCTAAGACAATTAAATTATTCCGAAAATGATTAATCAATAGTTACAGTATAAATACAACTGACAATGTATCATACAAATAAACATTGCATTTTTAAACAATGAAATCGTTGACACTTTTACATTTGGTTGAAAAATAAAATACACGTGTTAGGGCGTAATTGAGGACAATGTATTGTAAATAAATACGAAACTCTTCAGTAAGACACGTACATGTGTTACCGATAACTAAAATAATCTTACATGATCTTTTATTTTGATGAAGAACGTAATAATGAGCTTTACTTTAATACCCCCAGCAGAAGAAGAATACGAATACACATAAAATGAATGACAGCATCTTTTAACAATTACTAAAATAATCTTACATGATCTTTAATATTTATGAAGAACGTAATAAGCTTTACTTGAATACACCTAGCAAAAGATAACTAAAGCCGAATAATAAGAATACACATGTATCAATATCTATCTTACCATTTACTAAAATAATCTTTGATATTTATGAAGAACGTAATGTTAAGCTTTGATTTAATACAGCTAGCAGAAGGCAACTTAAACCGAATAGGAGTACACATATATTAAAAAATATCTTACCATTTACTACAATGATCTTAAATGATCTTTAATATTCATTAAGAACGTAATGATAAGCTTTACTTTAATACACCTAGAAGAAGACAACTTAAATCGAATAGAATACACATATATTAATAACTATCTTACCAATGACTAAAATAATCTTACATGATCTTTGATATTTATGAAGAACGTAATGGTAAGCTTTACTTTAATACAGCTAGCAGAAGACAACTTAAACCGAATAGGAGTACACATATTTTTCAAAATCTTACCATTTACTAAAATAATTTTACATGATCTTTGATATTTATGAAGAACGTAATGATAAGCCGCACTTTAATACAAGCTTACAGAACACAACTTAAACCGAATAATAAAAGTATTAATAAAAAAATTCAATCTGCTCGTTAAATAATATGACAACATCTTTTATATCTAAACTACTGTTCATAACCAAAATTCATATGTCATTTAATGTGTACAATACATAAATAGAGCTTACCAAAAAACAGGTGCACAAGAATTACTTTGCTTCCACGAGCACGATTAAGTGTACCGTTTTAACGGACCGTTTATGCCTAGAATTGTTGCGGGGGATTAACTCCGGGATCTCCATGCAACGCCTTCAAAAACATACAGAGAGGCTCTCAGGCCAAATGCAGGAATCTTTATTGTATATGACATCAAAAGGCAACAATCATACATTCAACAGCACCGAAGTATTTCAATTCATAGTTAAGACATCATATGAGCAGTTAATTAGTAAAGCATTTATATATTGAAATTAATAGCTAAGAAATGATAATGATAATCATTATAGTATTGTAAAATACTTTCACTTAATAATTCATTCCGAATATTCTTAAACTTAAGCACCTCAAAATTGAATTTAATTGATAAATAAGTGAAGTACATTACTGGTGCCTTGTTGAAAATATAACAATGATTATATAGTTGCTGTAACCAGGGTAACTGCGGTACAGATACCTGGGGCTTCATTCATTATATTGAAACATGAGATGTTTCCCGTGAAAATACAAACAATGAGACGAATAACATGACCACAAATATAAATGCAGATAATAGAACACGTTGACCACCAAGTCACTTGATACAGAAAACGTTATACACGTTGAACATAATGTTTAATAAGCATCCACGATTAAAATGGCGTAATATGTTAGATTGATACTTAAACGACTGGAATACTAACGCTAGTATTTTATCCGGGACACTATTATTATCTATTATTCAGGATAGTATTTGATGTCTAATTGAACTTCATGAAATTAACATATAGTAGCCAAATCGTAGATTTCGAACCATACTTTTTGATTAACTGTAATTTAAGTTCATTGTACCAGCAGAGTAACAAAGTTAGAATTATTTACAGCAAGTTGAACAAAATTGGCAAAGTAATAAGTAAAAGTAACTTACCTTCAAAAACAGATAGGTTCTCAGGCGAAAAGCTGGAATGACTCAATGCCAAGATACCCCTGCATTTATACCCGAGACCTCCAGTCAACGTTTGAAAGCGGGAACACCTCACTGTGCCCTCACCTATTGTTATAGGGTACAGGTGTAGTCAGCCGTGGTTAAGTGGGTAACAATAGGGAGATTACCTATAGTCTGTTGCATGGCTATATAGAGAAAATTACTATCTGTCAGATTCATAAAATTTCATATACATTTCAACAGTACATCTACTTTACAGAAGTATATATTTAATAAAATTTCATATATTTCATATTGATAGATTACGTATTGCATAAATAAATATACATTTCAAATTCACTTTACAGCAGAAATATTTAGTTCACAATCCAACATATTCAGCCACAGCGTCAGCATATTCAATTGGTGTAAGAATGCCAGTCAACAAGTTGTGCTTCTCTATCAGGATGTTGTCGTCAATTTGGAGATATTTCCTTCTCTTTGGTGGCAGTCGTCCTCCGGCATGAATTTGTATCAACAATGTCTCTGAACGTGATTGTTCATTCTTGATAATGTCAATACATTTAAAGATGTTTGGATGACTTGGGCCCGATTTCTTCAGCTTGGAGTGCCAGCCAGTGATTGGTTGTCCTGGAACCCAGGGTCCCAAATGGTTCCACACGTCTCTCCTGTCGCCGGACAGTCCTTCCTGCAGCAGCGCCAATGTATGGTGGTGTTTCTTCTGTTCTTAATTCGGAATCTGTGTCCGTTGAAAACTAAGTTCTGTCCACCTTGGTACTGTACCAATAATGTACATGAGAAAACAGTCAGACACTAATTGAACAGATTTCACCCTCAGAAGAGGGTTCACTTTAATTACATAGACTATACCAAGCGATTAAGTGATCTGTGTCTCTTAATCCCCTATAATCCACTGTAACAACATTTGGGGTGAGGTTAAACCTTGAAAGCATGTCACTACCTATCTGCCCAGTTTGGAATTGATAACATGTTGGTCAAGTTTTGATGTGCTGACTTGCTTAGTTATTTGTTTATAGGCTGGTCGGCTGTGTCTGAAACTGGTCAGCCGGGTCTAGAATTTCAATAGCGCCAGCTGATTAGCATCTGCCCGCTCGTTTGACTGGTTTCGAATAGCTTGCATCTCCAAGGGTTACGTATTATGATTCAAGTCCTGAAAACTATGTAGCATTTACTGGCTTGGGGATGTGAAATTTAAAGTAGTAGAATATATTTGATTTTAATAAAACTTGAAGAAAAATATAATGATTTTGGCACTATCATACTATTTTGATATACACCATATTGTTTGATTATGTCCAGTGCGACATGATCTAACCTAACTATAATAATAACTTCACTGGATACCTTAATCAATAATGCCCAGTTTGAAAGAACATAGAAAGCAATAGAAAAGAGGAAAATAGGAACATAGTTTAAGCACATACAATACATATCAAGTGAACATTACCTTTGAAACAACCAAGAGAAGCATCTTTTCGTGGTCAGTCTTTATTCAGTGTATCTCATCAGTGAGGTACCCCTTATTTACTGTTGGAGATTAAAGTGCGCTCTCCGACATTACGGCATAACACGGGCCCGCCAGGCCATTTAGTGAGGTGGTCGAAAAGGGTATTATCGTAAAGAAGGCAACCAGCTTTAGGGTTGCTTAATTATTTTCGGCGGAAATTTTGGAATTTTGAAATTTCATAATTTCGGATCCCGTTGATGAAGGTTTCGTTATATATTGTGACCAGTGGTAAGGTGAGGTGAAATAGGGTTTAACGTTGCGTTATATAGCGACGTACATGCACGTGTATGTGTGTAGCTGCTTGTACTAGTCCGGGCTAATGCCGATTTTATGGGACAAGCCCACTGAGATACCATGCCGCGGTTTAACATGAATACCCCACAAGGATACAGTGTACTGACGCCGAACCGACCAGTTTTATCCCCTCAATGCCGAGCGCCAGCAAGGGAAACAAGTACCATATTTTAACGTCTTTTGGAATGACGCGGCTGGGGATCGAATCCCGGGCCTTTTGATCTCCAAGCGGACGTTCTACCACTAGATCACAGAGGCGCACCTTCCGACCAGTGCTTTACTTCGTTAAATGAGACAGTTTTAGGTAAATGTTGTATTTATTTCTGTTGATCATCAAAGTATTAATACTCACATTCTTTGTTTTAGTTTTAATATGTGTAAATATTTTCCTAGTTATGTTAATGATTATGATTTGTTTCTTCAAAAACATGTGAAAGCAGTTGCGTGTAGTATTTGAGAAAATCGTGTATTTATGTCAAGCTGTTTTGTATTGAATGTTTATCCGATAACGTACAACGGGGAACGGGCGGCAAGCTGAGAGTGTGCGAGTGTGTGAGTATGGTTTTACGCCACTTTTAGCAATATTCCAGCAATATCTCGGCGGGGGACACCAGAATTGGGCTTCACACATAGTACCCATGTCGGGAATCGAACCCGAGTCTTCAGCGCGACGAGCGAACGCTTTAACCACTAGGATGCCCGACCGCCCCACAAGCTGAGATGTATTTTTTGTAAGAAAACCTGACGTACTACAGGTGAAATCCTGTCATGAACGTTCATGTTCTTTCTTCACATGCTATTTTGGAGAAATACTTTTGGACGATAAATAGGTGTATCATCTCCACCCAATTATGTTACAAATGTCCGTGTCCTCATTTATCAGTCTCTCGTAATTGTAATATATAGTGCAACATCGTTAATCAAGATACTTAATATACGGTTTCATTGTATTTGTCCGGATCCTTTATACTGTGCAGCCTCTTTTGTCAGGATCCGTAATTTACCTTCAACCTCGTTTGTTCTAATCCGTAATATAGAGTGCAACCTCGTTTATCCAGATCCTTTATATGCAGTTTCATTGTATTGTTCGGATCCGTTATACATTGCAACCTCGTGTGCCCTGATCCGTAATGTATAGTGCAACCTCATTTGCCCGGACTCGTAAAATATAGTGCACCCTCGTTTATCCAGATCCAAACTACAGTGCATCCTCTTTTGTCCGGATATGTAATATATAGTGCAAACTCATTTGTCCGGATCCATAATATATTGTTCAACCGCATATCTCTGGATCTGCAATATATAGTGCAACCTCGTTTGCACGGATCTGTAATATGTAATGCAACCTCGTAGACCCGATGGTCTCTAGTTTGTTGGCGTAAATTTTAGCTTTTTTATAATCTATTGGGCACTCGTGAAGAGCAACCTCCTCGTGGTGAGTGCTGGGTTACGCTAATAGCTCTTCCCCCGTGTGGAACCGGGGCAGAATATTTCCACTGCCTCCCATTGCTGGTCGTATGAGGCGACTAAAATGGGCAACCTGTTTGCCGTGGGTTGCGTCCCTGTGTCGGCGGAGGACGGGAGTCTGGTAGTTGAGGGCACTGGTTCCTGGAACTGTGTTCCTTTGCCCAACACACTACTTCGACCCTTACTTCGCCTAGACGGGTGGTAAGATGGGCCCGGTCTTATCAATCGGCTGGTCATGCCAGGCCCTGTGCGTAATATTGTATATGCACTCCTGTGTAGTACTATAAAGTATATTTTGGCCTTGGCCGTCCATAACTTGTGTGTATTCTCAATTTTGGATTGAATAATTTGCCTAGAGTCTTACGCCAGAAGGCGGTGGCTCATGGGCCAATCTGGTACTTTCGACCTCTGAGTTCTGTATGTCTTCAATTTCTTGTCATGGGCCGGACCAGCCTGGCATTTTATTTGATAGACAAATATAGCTATTCATGTTGTTCTTACTGGAGTATACCACCTCTGTATCCCTGATGTTTGCATGTTGGAGATCCGGTGCAATAAAACATCGCTCTTTGTGGCACTCCATGGTGGGTGGGGAGCAGAGGTGCTGAATTATTTCCTTTCATCATGTCTCTCCAATACCCTGGTTCAAACCGTTCGAAACGCAGACATGTCGATCTAGATGTATCTGATCAAACTGAAAACTTATCTCGTGAATTGGATTCCTGGGCCCGATTTATTGTGATCGAGGCAGCTGATAAACAACCACTAAAACTTAATCCTTTCGCCATCTCAAAAGCAGTTTCAGGAATTTGCGGAGAAGTTAAAAATGTAACACGTCTTCGTAGTGGCTCTCTTCTTGTTGAGTGTTCACGGAGACAGCAATCTCTCAATTTGCTATCTGTAACTACATTTGCAAATATTGAGGTTGCTGTGTCCGTACACAAAACCTTGAATTCTTGCCGAGGCATTGTTCGAGACAGAGCTCGTTGCCTGTCCGACATGTCGGAGCAAGACATTACAGATGAATTGACTAGTCAAGGGGTAACTGCAGTTAAGCGTTTCACCATGAAATCCAGAGACGGTGACATCATCCCGTCAAATACTTATATGCTTACATTTGCCCTATCGGCCCTTCCTAAGTCTGTTAAAGCTGGTTATCTAAACATTGGAGTGGAGGTGTATGTCCCCAATCCACTCCGATGTTTCAAGTGCCAAAAATTTGGACATGGATCAAAATCTTGTAATCACTCTGTAGTCTGTCAGCGCTGTGGTGACGACCATGACAGCACTGGATGTACAGCTGACATTAAATGTTCAAACTGTAACGGCAAACATCTGGCTTCATCTAAATTATGTCCAGTGTGGCAAAAGCAATCAAAAATCATAAAACTCAAACATGAACAAAATATCTCGTTTTACGAGGCTAAGAAGGTTATTGAAAGTCAGTCCCCGTCTACTCCACTTACAAGAACCTACTCTGCTGCTGCTGCTGCTGCTGCTACTATCTCTGCTCCTCCAACGGTATCGATTTCTGTTCAAACAGAATTGACATGGATCAAATCAGATACACCTATCAGCATAACTTCTGTGATTACGTCCAATTCATCCTCGAGTCAAACTGAAACTTTGTCTGTTTACCCTGATGCTGTTGAATCAGCTACTAAAGAGCCAGAGGCTACTGTTGAACCAGCAACAACTGGATCTGCCGATGTTACTCTGACCAGAAAAGAAAGGAAAAAACTAAATAAAAAACAGACAAACAGGAACTCCTCTTCTTCAGAGATAGTTGTCCATAACTCCTTTGATGCTCTGGACATGGATGTCACCCCATCGTCACAGAGCAGTAGTAGGAGTCCTTCCTCCACACGTGTACGTGAGCGTTCACCGATTGAGCCACCATGACTCAATCTCCTAACATAATTCAGTGGAATTGCAGAGGACTTAGGAATAATTTCAATGAAGTCCAATTATTAGCTCAAGACTATAAACCATCAGCTTTTAGTTTACAAGAGACCTATCTTAAGCATACTGATAAATTTGAATTGCGTCAGTACAATTCTTATCATTCTTTTTCACCTCCAGGTGATAAAGCCACTGGCGGTGCTTCCATTTTGGTGAGGCAGGGCATCATCCACAGTCCTGTTCATCTCAAATGTAACCTTCAGGCTGTTGCTGTCCGTCTTACTCTACAAGTAACTTTCACACTTTGTTCCCTATATATTTCTCCATCCTCAAATTTGCAGCAGTCTGAACTTCAGGATTTATTTGACCAACTACCTAAGCCCTGTATCATCATGGGTGATCTTAATGGGCATAACCCTCTATGGGGAAGTTCCAATATAAATAATAAAGGGAAAATCCTTGAAGATTTTATTGCTAACAATAATCTATGCATCTTCAACGACGGCTCGAACACATATTTACATCCTGCAACAGGTACGTACACTGCATTAGATCTGTCAATCACAGATTCTAACTTATATAATGAATTTGAATGGTCAGTCCATGATGACCTTTGTGGAAGTGATCATTTTCCGACAGTTATTACAGCTATAAACCCCACTGATGATCCACCTATAACAAGATGGAATTTTTCTAAGGCAAACTGGCCGTTATTTCAGAACATATGTACTGACAAATTGCAACACGACCTTTTTATGGATGTTCCTGACCCGATTCAGTTGTTTTCCGATCAACTGAAAGGTATAGCTGATGAAACTATTCCTAAGTCCTCTGTGAACCCACATATTCGTAAACCATGGTTTACTTATGAATGCAAACAAGCTAGGAAGCATAGGAAGAAGGCTGAGAAATACTTTCGACGCCATCCTACTGTTCATAATTTGAATAATGTAAGAATTAATTATGCCAAGGCTCGACGAACTTTTAAACTCATTAAACGACAGACCTGGAAGGATTATGTTTCCAAAATAAATTCTCGCACGCCTATGTCAAAGGTGTGGAACATGATCCAAAAACTCAAAGGCAAAGGTTCCAAATCAAGTATTCATCATCTCAAAGATGTTAATAATTTATTGACAGAAAAATCAGATATTGCAAACAAACTGGGAGAAACTTTAGCCAAACATTCTTCTTCGTCAAATTATATTCCAAAGTTTCAGAAGTATCAACAACAACAAGAAAGGAAAAAAGTCAATTTTATTTCTGACAATGGCGAAGATTATAACGAAGTATTTTCACTACATGAGCTACACACTGCTTTAGCACAAGCTCATGATACTGCAACTGGTGCTGATGATATCCATTATCAGCTTCTAAAACACTTGCCTGAATCTTGTCTCACAACACTATTGAATATTTTCGATGATATTTGGACAACAGGACATTTTCCTCCTTCGTGGAGACATGCCATCGTTGTACCCATACCAAAGCCTGGCAGGGATCATACAGATCCATCCAATTACCGACCTATTTCTTTAACTAGCTGTGTTTGTAAAACCATGGAGCGCATGGTGAATAATCGCTTAGTTTGGTTTTTAGAAACCAACAATTTAATCAGTGATATCCAGTGCGGATTTCGTAAAAACCGAAGTACAATTGATCATTTGGTTCGTTTAGAATCATTTGTTAAAAATGCTTTTATAAACAAACAACATGCTGTATCTATCTTTTTCGATCTTGAAAAAGCTTATGATACCACTTGGAAGCATGGTATTTTAAAAGATTTACATGACTTTGGTTTAAGAGGCCGCTTGCCTCAATTTGTATCACAGTTTTTAACTGACAGACAATTTCAAGTTCGTGTTGGATCAACCCTGTCTGATCATTATCATCAGGATCAGGGGGTTCCACAGGGCAGTATTTTGTCTGTCACATTGTTTAGCATCAAAATAAATAGTTTATCTAAAGTATTAAATGACTCAATAGATGGGTCATTGTTTGTGGATGATTTTAATATTTCATGTCGTGGTAAAAATATGCGTACAATTGAAAGACAGTTACAGTTGTGTCTTAATAAAATTCATAAATGGTGTCTTGAGAATGGATTTAAGTTCTCACAGACAAAGACAAATTGTATACATTTCTGTCGGAAATATAAAACTCATAAAGACCCAGAACTCTCTTTAGATGGTACTCCAATTAAGGTTGTAAAAGAGGCCAAATTTCTGGGATTGATTTTCGACCACCATTTGACGTTTTTGCCACATATTAAATATTTAAAGACTAAATGCCTGAAGGCCCTCGATTTGTTGAAAGTCGTATCGAATTCTAAGTGGGGAGGGGATCAGACAACCCTCCTTCACTTATATAGATCATTAATCCGCTCTAAATTAGACTATGGCTCCATTGTGTATGCTGGAGCTTGCAAGAGTAATTTAAAAAAGTTAGATTCAATCCACCATCAGGGACTTAGACTGTGCCTTGGTGCTTTTAGAACTTCTCCTGTTGACAGTCTCTATGTTGAGGCTGATGAACCCTCTTTGAAACTACGCCGTATTAAATTATCTCTTCAATATATCACCAAATTACACTCTAACCTTTCTAATCCTGCATATGCCTCTGTTTTTCATCCACAATATGAAGAACTGTTTCTGAGGAAACCAAAGCTGGTTCCCCCACTTGGAATTCGGATTAAATCAAATGTTATTGCTGCCCATATAGATTTAGATCTCATCTCTCCTTACCGACTTTTGTCTTCTCCTCCCTGGCAGTTGGTGAGGCCAGAAGTAGACATTTCCCTCACACGTTTTATAAAATCTGAGACCAATCCACTCGTATATCAACAAGCATATTTACAGTTAAGAAATAAATACGACACTCACCGTTCAATCTTTACTGATGGATCCAAGGATGGTGGCCAAGTAGCATCTGCCACCGTCATTGGATCAAAACATTTATCGTCCAGAATACCAGATAATAGCTCTATATTCACTGCTGAGGCCAATGCTATCCTTACAGCCTTGGGATACATTCAACAACAATCTGTATATAAACGATTTATAATCTTTTCTGATTCTTTATCTTGTCTTCAGGCACTAAAAAAAGTCTCTTCTAGTCATCCAATCATTTTAAATATTTTAGAACTTTATAATGATCTTTCAACTGGCCAATACGACATCGTCTTTTGTTGGTTGCCCAGTCATGTGGGCATAAAAGGCAACACAATGGCTGATGCTGCTGCTAAAGCAGCCCTCAACAAATCTGTGACACCACTTCTACTTCCATACAGTGATTATAAACCTGTGATCAGGTGTTACATCAGAGATCTTATGCAAATGAAGTGGGACACCCAAGTAGGTATCAATAAATTACATCAAATTAAGCCAACTCTCGGTTACACCTACTTGGGGTGTCAGTCCAGATTTGAAGAGGTCATTTTACGACGATGTCGTATTGGCCATTCAAGATATACACACGAATATCTATTAAAAGGTGAGGATCCTCCGTTTTGTATCCCTTGTGATGAGAGAATCACAGTCAAGCATGTCCTGCTTGACTGTATTGATTTTTCCATTACAAGGGATAAGTATTTCAAAGTTTCGTCCATCAAGGATCTTTTTAGTATCAGTGCTCATTTACTCATCGGTTTTTTAAAAGAAATAGAATTAATAGATAAATTTTGATTATAATATGTATAGTATATAGAAAGTGATTTTAATTTGGTAAATTGAATTCATGACTTGGATTGATAGTGGCTGTATCTTCACAGGGGGTTGAAGTATCGTAAAACAATTGTCCCCCTGGGAAGGTACGTAAGTCCGGTATCATTCAAAGTATCTTTTCATTTTGCTGTGATTTTAATCGTAGCATTTTTGTTGATTTTAACTGTTTGGCTAGTCTTTCTGATCATCGCCAGTAACCCGAGGGATGGTGTAAATCCTGCTGGGGACCATGTAGGTAGCAGAAGTACCGTAAGTCCCCATGGTCCCTAGTATGGTGGCCTAACTTTGGTTGCTGGCGATCTACAGCCCGTTTTTATACTGTGTCGTCTGATTTAATTTGATCGTTTTATTGCTCTAAAATTAGTTTTAAAATTATAATCTGTGATATATTGCTAATTGTTGTACTGTCCTTCGGCGACAGGTTTTTATATATAATATAAATGTTTAACTTGTTCAAGTCACGATATGGCTGAAATAGTGCCGATGTGACTTTAAATATTAACTCACTCACTCACTATAATCTATTGTTTTTTCATGGCGATACCAGCTACAGGTTCTCTTCCACCTGAACTCTCACTCTCTCTCTCTTTCTCTCTCTCACACACACACACACACACACACACACACACACACACACACACACACACACACACACACACACACAGAGCTTATTTAGGTTAACATCAGATATCACATAGGGGCTACTGATGTGTGTGTTCTGCACTTCACCAACACATAAACAATTCATCTGCAATACGTATTATATCTGCGATATCATGGACAACCTAATCAACATTTTTCAAGTGCATTTCCGTATTTCCTCTGAAAGGTCAAATTACTTACCGACTTCTCTTGTTCAAGACATTATATATTATGATATCGGTATCGCAGGAACTTGACAGTTATCGACACATTTACTTCATGTCCTGACTGACATTTGTTTATAGTCATTTACAAGTGATGTTTACCCTCCCAACTTCTCACACAACATTCCCGAATCATACGCATTTAAGTTTGACATCTGAATAGACACTTTATTTCATCTATGAATTGATTTATCCATTGATGAATAATAACATGTTCGCATGACATGTTGGATGAAAATACGTGATAAACAATATAAATCATAAATTGTTCGGCTGATGTATTAACTCGTAGCCTAGGACAGTCGTTGTAGTCGCCGTCAGCAGTACAAACCACAGCATCATGATCGTCACCGTATGCATAGGATCCGGGGTAGAATAGGTCTTCAGCAACCCATGCTTGTTGTAAAAGGCG